CGTTCCACTCAATGATTACCGAGCGGCGCACAATGGTGGAGATCCCCGCTGCAAAGTTTTGTTATACTGTATTTTAAATGAGATAAATATTAGTTTTGATTAGGCTACGGTAATGGTCCTTGTTCATTCGGGTCAAGAAAGCAGAAGCTCCACAGGAACTTCACTGCACTGTCCACATCACTGCAGGCGCGGAGAAGGGCAGACGGCAGCACGTAGGTACAGCGGCAAGTGCACCAGAAATAAGCGTGAGCAGGTGCATCTCTCCAGCGAAGCGCAATCAGTAGGCGTCAGCATAGTCAGCAGCACTCCAGTCACAGGGGAGGCAATGTGCATGCAATCACACAAAACAGAAAGGAAACGGGTTAACAAGGAATTGTGGACACACAGTGCAAAATTAGGGACTAGACCGAAGGGCTCAGACGTGAGTGTCGTGGGCGTCGTCCAGAAAGTACATCCTTTTCTATCAGATTCATAAGGCAAATAATTACAGGAGATCGGTGCCTGCGAAACTTAACGTAGGCCACCGCGCAGTACACGGATGCACTGCAGGCAATATTGTGCCTACCCACCAGGCGCTATGGGTGCTTGCGGAGGCTACACATGAAACGTTCGCAATGAAAATGACGGACGTAAGTTACTTTCTGGCTGACCCCTGATGTGGACGAAACGACGCGGCAGCAACCCAGGCTCGTGGAGTGGCGGGTTCTGGCAGTCTGAGTACGCAACCCCATCGACACGGATGCGCAGGGTGCGGCCTACCCACCAGGCGCGAGCACTCAAACATACTGACACTTACGCGGCACGCACTTACGGAAGAAGAACAGTATAAGGTACTTCGTAACGACCCTTACACTTCCTGCCCCCTGTGACGTGGCTCCGCCCCCCGTCGCAGTCACCTCGTCACGTCACTCACACGACCGGTCGCCTGTGACGTGGCTCCGCCCCTGTCACAGGCACCTAGTCACGCCCCTTCCCGCCCAGCTCCCTTGTGACGTTGTTCTGTACCCCGTCACAACGATTACATACGCTTCATTATTGATTGATTACGCACTCTAAATTAACAAACTAAGTGTGCAACAGCAAGTAGAATACTGCAAGGAAGTGTTTAACAGAGGAGTTGCACACTTCACTTGCAAGTGCACACTCACCGTGTTCCACACTTGCAAGAATTCAACTTGCTGTTGCCATACTTACAAGTATTACGCAGTTGCACACTTAGTTTATCAGTGTAAATGTGATAGATCGAATTTGTTCCTTGGGAACACGGAGGAGAGAGATACGGTGTCGGTGGGGACCGAGGGGTGCCCAACTCTGCCGTGAAGCGGAAGAAGTGGATAAGTCCACTTAACACAACGGCATTTTAGTCACCAGTCACTTCCGTTTGTTGGATATGAAGTTCCTGAAGTCATCCTGAGAAGTTAAGTTGTACTAAAAACTAACTTCCCAATGTCATTTTGGGAACTTCCGATGTACCAGACGGATGTTACAGATCAATTATGGCATGGAGATAAGTTGACTTATCTCCTTATTCCGCCTCACGGTGGTAATCAGACTTGGTAATCACTGGTAGTTTCAAAGGACAAATTTGCGACCCTTCCATGGACAAAAATATAATTTGTCCAATGAAAGTATGCAAACGTGTGACTTGTAAGATAAATAATAAGGATTTACCGAAAATGTGCACAAAAATGCATATTTCTCGGCACAAAAATGGCTGTTTAGTTTTGGAATACAGGGGAGTCACAAGTAGTATCATTGAAGGTGTAACGTGAAGTAATCTCTGCAAATAAATTCACCGGGGGGAGTAGTGTGTGTGTGGTGGTGGTGGTGGGGACAATACCATACACACAAATGTAGCGCATGCAGGCGTTGCATACCCGCACACGGCCGTAAGGCGCCGTGGTGAGCGACGGTATGCAACCCGCACGCACGCCTGCATGCGGTACAGTATAAGCGAAATAAAGGAAGGGGTCTCCCTGTACATACCCGACACCCCCCCCCCCCCCTCCTCTGTTGAAGACAAAGCCCCCTGCTCACCCTTCCTTGTTCCTCCCTGGCACGGTGCTACGTCTGTCACGCTGAACTCGTCACGGTATCCAGGAGGTACTGCATACATGTACACACTTGAGTTTCCACAGCATGTTTTTTAGGGAACGGATGTGGAACCTCTCAGCTCTCCGTGTGCACTGGAGAAGTTCTCCGCATTTGTCTTTGTCACGATATGTTCTGTTAAAAGACACTCTGATTTCCGGAATTTTGAGGTCGGAGGAAAACCAGGTCGGAGAAAAAATAGGTCGGAGAAAAGCCAGGTCGGAGAATTTTTTTTACCTTTTTGGGGGATCCGGGGGTCGGAGAAAAAAGGGTCGGAGAAACGAAATAGACCCGGGCCACGCCTGTTGCCTGTTTACTTGCAGTGTGTGTTGGCGATTACGCGCTGCTATGCGACGACGGGCGGCCCGCGGTGATTCGACGTGACGTGTCGGCCCGCGCCCTCGCAGATCATGTCCGGGACCCCAAACACTTTGTAATTTTTATGATCGATATTTTCTTGTAGCGTTCGAAACGGGGTAATCACGAAGACATAGGAGCAGGGAGCATACGGGAGATTTGCTATGAAAAGAGGTTGGGCAGATCATCGGATGAATTTTCACCCGTCGTGTTTATGCCAAGTTAAAATTATCCAAACAAACCTTCTCTATGATTGCCACAAAACACGGTGGTGTCCCTTTTTACTCTTATCGGCCTCCCATTCCATTCGATGCGTACTAGGACCAAGCTCACAAACATAGTGCCAGCTCTCCACCCCCACCACAGCCCGGTCTGTATCGCGACGACAGGGAGAGAAAAGATATAGATACCCCACATTGTCTACAACTGCGCGCCCGCGCCCTCTCTGACTTGATCCCCACCTGACCCTGCGTGTTTTTGTTTTTTTTGGCTGCAGGCGGAGCTGGTGAATGTGCGCGCCGAGCTGGTGGAGGCGCGGGCCACGCGGCAGGCGCTGGAGGACGAGCTGCACGTGCTGCTGCTGCAGCTCCACGCCGCGCAGCTGCAGCAGCCGCAGCACCAGCCGCAGCAGCAGGAGCACCACCAGCGCATCTTGAGCCGGCTGCAGGGCGAGCTGGACCGGGAGCTAGACCGCTCCCCCCGGCACCACGTCAAAGGTACTTACGACGCGCGGCCGAGCCCCGCGTCACCACCGCGTCAAGGTATTCTCACGCCTGGACGAGCCTCGGCATACCGCGTCAAGGTGCTTGCCCCTGACCGAGGATGGAGATGAGGGAAGGCGAGAGCGGCGCCCGCGGCGGTGCTGAGGGGGTGCACAAGAAGTCACCCCCACTCGTCCCACGCGTGTGTATAGGTTCGCTTCAGAGGAAGAGGCCCCTGTATGGTCTCTAGCACACTCCAGGTGAATAACGTAGGGGTGGTATGGTGGTGCTGCTGCAGTGCGGCACCGCAGGTGGAGTGGTGGGGTAGGTAGTGGGGTTGGTGCAGGGCAGGTCCGCATGGGGTGGGGAGTAGTGGATCCCAGCAGCCCTCTGCTGCGCCCGCGGTCCATAGTGTGCTCATGACGTGTTGCGCTTGCAGTGGCGGGCGACGTGGTGACGGCGCTGCAGGCGGAGCGCGAGCAGCTGCACCGCGAGAACGCGGCGCTGCGCAACTCGCTGGTGGCGCTGCAGAGCGAGGTGACGGGCGCGCGCCTGGCCGCCAAGTACCTGGACAAGGAGCTGGCTGGCCGCATCCAGCAGCTGCAGCTCTTCGGCCGCGACATGAAGACGGAGATCAGAAACAAGCTGTGGCGCCAGCTCGAGGCGGAGATCCTGCTGCAGCGCCACAAGACGGTGGTGCGGGCGTGCCGCATCAACTCGTCGTACCAGCAGCAGCAGCGGCTCAACAACCACAACAACCAGCACAACCACAATAACAACAACAAGCACAACAACAACATCAACAACATTATGGTGAACGGCGACGGGGAGACGGCGGCGGCGGCCGCCGCAGCAGCCACCTCCACGACGGGCCAGGAGGCGGCGGCAGCGCTGCGCGACCAGCCCGTCATCAGGACAGTGACCGTCACCAGAGAGCCCGGCGAGGGGCTGGGCATGTCTGTCACGGTGAGTGGTGCCTCCCATGTGCAGATGCAGGGATGTACGTGTCGTCGAGATGGGCTCGAGATATAAAGTGCGATCTGCTTGCAGGGCGGACGGGAGCACGGTGTGCCCATCCTCATCTCGGAGCTGGAGGCGGACGGGCCCGCGGCGCGCACGAACCAGCTGTACGTCGGCGACGCCATTCTCGCCGTCAACAGGGTGGACCTGAGGCAGGCGGGTCACAAGGAGGCCGTGGCTCTGCTCAGCGCGCACCCCGGAGACGTGACCCTCGAGGTGCAGTTCTTGGCCTCGGCCGAGGACAGCGAAGACGACAACTCCATCGGCGGTGACCTGGAGAACTACAGGTACGGCTATCGTCAACTTCAAAAACAACGTTTCCTAGAAAGTATGCATACAGGGCACGGTCCATAGACCCCTTCCTTTATTTTACTTATACTGTACCGCATGCAGTCGTGCGGTGGGTTTAATACTAACACGGGGCCATCGGGTGCCTTGGTGAGCGACGGTATGGACCACCCTGTATATCTATACAATGAGTTAGTTATACAAAGTGGATACAACAACCTGGCTGAAAAAAGTAAAAATAAACAAACAAAGAACAGTGGGATTTCTTAATTATGCTGTACTGGAGTGCATGTGGGTTCCCTTCCTGTCGTAACGCCCGTGCACACGTTCAGTAGTTTAGTAGGCCCACAAAATCCGACAAAGTCACCTGGCACACCCTGTACGTACCTACAGTTATGCTCAACCTCATTGTCTTCTAGGTACCGATTCTTTGACGAGGAAGTTTTGGCGCCCGGCGAGAACATCAATTTGTACAATGGCTACTTGGACAGCGCGGAGGGAGGCGCAGTCATCCCGACGCCTACAGCTCCTAGGACGCCGGACAGCAGGTGGGTATCTGTCCAAGCCTAGTGCCGCTCTCCTACCAGCAATATTACACCGATGTCCCAAATCCGAGATTTGAAGTTTAGACTAATGATACTTGATCCTTATTTTATTTTAATCGGATTTATCTCCTCTAACAGGAACGCCTCCGAGGCCAGCTTCCCCGTGGGACCAGCATCCCCCGAGCACACTGCGCAGACCCACCCCCACCCTCTCCAGGGAGGGAAGCTGTCGACCATCGCCGTGGAGGTACCTGTGCCATCGCCAAGTCCCGGGGGCAGCTCCATCGGCGCGGCCGAGACCCTGATCATCCCGGCCATCGCGGTCGAAGCCGACGTGGCGCAGAGTCCCACCTCCCCGTCGAGCCTGGTGGAGGTGAGCTCCGACATGAGCCCAGAGCCCAGTCCCGCACCGCCAGCCGAGCGCGCCGAGGACTCTGACAGTGTGTCGGCCATCCAGCGCATCCTCAGGACCCTTACCTCGGCCTCACCACTCAGCAGCCCGTCGCCGTCAGTGTCGGTCTCGGTGTCGCCCTCGGCCTCGCCAGCCACCTCGACACCCGTGTCGCCCGAGCGTCGCTTGCGCTCTCACCCAGGCTACGCACTCAGAGCCTCTCGCGACATGCACCACCACGGCCACCACCACCACAGCTACCATCACGCCCAGAAACAGCCGCCGCCGCCGATGCAGCAGCACTTGGGTGCGGGCCGCCGCCAGACTTTCACCACCCTGGACGACGAGTCCTTCGCCGTATCGGCAAGCGGAGAGGACGGGACGCAGGAGATCTACCGCTACCGGAAGCCCATCTCGGATGAGTCACAGAGCGAGAAGATGTCCGACTCTGGCGTCGCGGTAACGGCCTCGGGAGGTAGCGCGTCGGGAAGCACGAGTGCGTACGCTAGCGTCTATGGCCATCAACACCACAGCACCAAGCCCAAGCAGACTAGGCGACGTTCTAAACGGTCTACGAGGAAGCAGCCACCCTCGGACGACGCGATCAGTTCTCCAGACTCGATGTATTTCCAGGGTAGGTTTGCACCAAGCGACGCCGTTATCCTAGACAACTTGGGTGATCCGGATTTTGGCACCCCTGTGTAAGGTGCTTGTTCAGACTCTACATTCTAAAATACTTAAGATTCAAGGGGCTGCGCTAACTTTGTTCTGAAGTATTGTTGCCACTGCAAAAGTGGTTGCTTATATGTACAAGAGCACATACTGAACATCTAGTCATAAAATTAAGATTGTAAAACTACCTCCATCATGAATCCTGTCCCACAGGACTAATCAAGCTGCTCTTTCTTTTGGTCTTTAAAAAAATTATTACATTTGACTGCTGTGAGGGGGAAGGTAGGGAAATTACCAACAGAGTCAGTATGTGTTTTTCTTGACTCGCTTTGAATCATCTGGGCTTCCTCTTCTATGATAGTCTTAAAGCAGGGTACATTCAGAAAATAGAATGAATTTCATTGTATCATTCTGATTAGTCTGGGCCAAGCTTTTACCAGTTGCATTATATTCCTCTCAGCAGGAAGGTCATTTTTCCTTACCTGACTCTACTTTATGTACCAAAAAAATGATTCTCACTGCCACAAGTCTTAAAGTAGATTTTGTAAAGGCAAAAGCACGATGATATACATATTCTAAATATAGTAAACTTTATTTCCACTCTTCGGCTCCAAGGACTGCACATAATAAATCAAATGGTAGCCATCTACATTTTTTTGAAAAGATATTTTGCTAGTAGCATATCAGTGCACAGAAATGGACATTAGCTTCTACATTCCGTTTTGAAGTATTTATTCAAAAAAATTGGGATAAATGAGGTGTAACTCATTTGTTCTTGACTGTTATGCTTCATGACAATATTTTAAAAATGCATCTAAGGTGTATTGATTGTAGTTAGTCCTTCTTTCCCTGTCTCACTTTTCTTAGTTTCACACATGAGAGGCTGATTTCCCAACAGTCACTGGATAATAACATTGATAAAAATATTGTTTTTGAGATGTCACAAGAAATCTGAGACAGAATTTAAGTTTGTTGTTGTTGTCGAGATACATATTATGGTGACGATAGATAAAATAATAGACTTAATAAATAGGGATCAGAAAAATTGTATTTGGTTAAGTGAAAAAAGATGAATGGTATCTATCTGTATCCATGAGACGAACATGTCTCTTGATTGATCTTCAACATGTATATATTTGTTTTAAGATGTTCATAGTATTACTCAGATCCATGTTCTATAGGCTATAGACTTTCAATGTAGCTCCCTTGTAGTGAGAGGTTGTATCTAGGTACCTACTCCAATTAAAATATTTCAATCAATAATGAAATCATGTATGTACTTCTTGTTGAGTGGAAGTGTTGATAAGAACACAAAGAACTTGTGGCAATGCAGTATTATACTTCTGAGCGAGTATTCTTATAACTTTTAATTTAAAATGATAAATATCCATTTTTAGTTCTGACTGGAAAAGGGACGTGATTCTTTTGATGTACATATCTATCTTTTTAATATAGTTGAAGCTTAGAGAAAATAATACTCGACCGTGGCCCAAAGAGTTAACATAAAATTTGTGTGATATTTATGCATTTAAGAAAAAGAATATGTATTTGGTTATGAATTGGCTTTGCTGTCATCAATTGCAAGAGGGTGTCATAGCGGGCAGTGATATTTTATTTATTTTATATCTCAATAACGTAAAGTGCTTTATGAAACGCTTCGTGACTTGATTACGCTTCTTGTAAAGAAATATGGAAAAATTGCTTATAACTAAGATACACCAATATTTTTAAGTATTCTAGATTGTCTTGTATTGAACGGTGTTTTATGTCTTTAATAATCATTATTTGCTCGGCTTTACAACCCAACACTATTGGTCATTTCCAGTTTACAAATTAAAACATTACTACTTTTAGTGAAGCTACCCTGTGGTGTAGTCTTGTACATATTAAGAAATCCTAAAAGTATCAGTTGTTTATTTCAACTTTCTGCTGTATGAAACAGTATTCAGTTGTTGCTTTTGTCTGGAAGGTTCTTACCACTGTACTGATTTATTCTTACTCTATGGCTAACAAAAATAGTTAATGAAATGTACAAGGAAACTAATGGCCTTTCTATTATTGTGAATCTAGGGCTATTGTATCTTCAAATTTGTTTTCAAAGGTATGCTTAGAAGGCACTTATCTTTTTCTTTCTGAGTTTTATTTTTTTACAAGCGTGCAAATGTACGTATCTGTTTGTCAAGAAGTCAGCTGCAATTTGTTTCACTTGTCCTTTGATGTACTTGTGTGATATGCAAACTTTCATAGGTAATATTTTTCAGTATCTCTCGTACTTTCTCTTCTTCTATTTTGTTCAACTTATTATTTTTTTTTCCCTCTCTTACTTCATAATTATGATTACAATAGCTATA